CAAATCTTTTATAGAAGGAAAAGTCGTAGAATAAAAATTCTTTCGCCATTAAATCGGCCGTCACTCGAACTATATGAAACACTATTTAAATTACGAAAAAGCAAGCTCACTGTTTTTTTCTAAATTTCCACCTGAATGCCCAATGTGTAGTGCCAAAATTGCTTCTATGGGTTATCGACGATGCTCTATTCAATGGAGTGGTTTTTCAGTTTAAAAACGTTTTTCAGAGGGTTTTCCACAAATCCGGTCTCTGGAAACCTTTGTCGAAACTGGGAACTATTCCAATGGAAAGAGAATCGTCGAACACCTATAGAAAGTGGTTGAGATAATATCAGTCCACTTATAAAGTTAATGTCCGCCTGCTCTAGCGAAAAATGCCCACTGTTCCACGGGCTTCGCCTCGTACAGTTCTTACCTGGTCATCGCCCCGTCCCTCGTCAAGTGTTCAAAAATTCTTCTCCGTGGGGCCTCGCGAGGCTCCTGGTCCATCGCCGACCTCTGAGTGGAAATGGTTTTAAATTAAAAAAGATATGCTTTTTGGTGCTTTTTTGTACTGACGCGAACCGTATACTAGAGGAAAAGTTTTGCCGTTTTCTCTGATCGAGGAAAACCACGATAAGTTCAATAAATACTTGCGCAGAATCAATAACTTTGGAAAAAAAGTATGATCATATCCTGTGTAAACTAAATTATCGATCGATCTAGGTGAAAGCATTTTAAATCTTTAGCCCTGCCTGTCAAGATCCGTGGGTATTGATAAAAGTGATATAGGAACATAACGAGAATCCTGTGGAAATGTTGTTCTGACCTAAGAGGCTTCATAATGTATCAGTTGCTAAAAATAGAATTTTTTTCCATTGATCTGTAGATTATATACGAAAGCGTGAAGAAAAATTTTAAAACAAATCAAAAATCGTGAATGTTTCTTTCGTGCCCTATGCACATCGTGTGTATTATTTCTGTTCCGAGTGCTTTTAAATGAAAAGAAATATGCCACATTTTGTTTGCTTTACTTGCTTATTTCGCAAGGTGCATCGGCCGTGATAAAACGGGTTTGTTGGTTGTTTCAAAGATACTTCAAAAATGTGTCAATTTTCAATTGCATTAGAGGAGTAATATCGAAATTACGTATTTTTTAATTTTACATTTTTTTAGTTTCGTTACCTACATTTGTGCAATATCTTCGCTAAACAAGCATTACATCACGTTTTCACTGGCATAACATTATGTATATTTAAGATAATACAGGAATAAAACTTTAAAAGTAATTGCAGCTCCTCGTATTTTCGTTTATTGTTAAAAGTCTATTAATATTGGAAAAATTGAAATTTGCAATACACAATTTTTCGATCTATTTATACGGTCATTCGCAAGCATTTGTCTTGTGCAGAATTTTAAATTACAGTAAAAAGAAATGAGTGTATGGCATAGTCATTGTACGGTTCATTTTCTACATGTAGAAAGAGGATAATTCTTTATCGATGAAGCAATTTTTGAAAGTTTATTTTTTTGTTGAGTTTATCGACACTAGGCCTGCTACCGTGCTAGAAGCAACCGTTTGTCTCCTGTGGTTTATGAGATATAGCTCTTACATTTCGGTGTTGGTTGGACTTTGGTGCTGTCTACTGAAAGAAAACGAATTTTTTTCAATATATCTAGTCTCTCAAGCGGTATTATTGTTTTTCCATTTTGTAGGTCACATCTTTCTCCACATACTCACATAATTTGATTCCAGGCAGAGGTATAAGTTCAGCTAGAAAAAATGTTCTGCGCTTTGGAATTTAAGCCAAGTGAGATTTCAAAGCGTACTGTCGAGCTGAAGAAAGGCAGGAAATGTTCGATCATCAGCAGAAAAAACGTATATTACAAAAAGGAAAAAGGTTTTTTGCATTTGCAACTATAACAAACGCATATCCATTTTGCATTTAGGGTGCAACCCGTTCCGTTCTTAAAACACTCCTTTAACAGTAAACGCGAAAATGGATAAGAGTGTGATATTCCTATATTGTTGGTTTTGTGCTTAATCCTTTACACCCGGCGGTCCCTTCCAAGGGACATTGATGTAATAGATTTATACAAAGAACGGATTATCAGACCATAAGCTAGATTATTACTAATGTAGGACAATAGAGTAGCCTAACTTTTGATTGAAATAAGAAAAAAACATTTCCATTTTAATCCGATATTTTTGAATTTTAAAATTGACTGAAGTTCAAAAATGAATTTTTTGGTTTTAGTTATTTTCTATACTTGTAGCCACTAAATCATTTTCTAATTTAATTGGTAGTTTTGGTTGTATGGATGTACTTTATAATGAAATCAAAGCAGACATTTTTGTAGCATTTTTCTTTGCGTAAAAGCGCTGTGGATTCACTGTCCCTTGGAAGGGACATTCGGGTGTAACGACATGAAAAGTGAATTTTTTTATCTTAATATCTTGTTAGCGTGGGTCATTCTGTGATCACTCGCTACATATCTGAAGATGGACGAATGAAGAAAAAAAGATGCAGCCAACAGTACAGTGCCGTCGCCGACAAATGTGAAGGCGTTTTTCTCTGATCGATATAAAAATTCCATCTAAGTGCGTTTTAAATACTGAATAAAATTGGAAAGCGTCTAAACTATCTTCAGTTTTTTAAAAAACAAGATACGTCCGAATACACTTTTCTTCCTTGAGATAAAAAGAAGCTCGTTTAGAAGCGTCCTTGGGGCCATCTTGATTCGAAAAACGCGTTCGGGCACGACGTTTTGGGAAAAATTAAAGAAAAATGCGTTTGTTTCTATCAAAAATTTTTCCAGTGAGTAAAGAATTGAAAAGAAACTCATAGTAACACACTAGGGTAAAAAAGGAAGTTCGGAATAATAATGAAAAAAATACAAAATCCATGTCGTTACACCCGAATGTCCCTTCCAAGGGACATCATGTATCCACGTGGCAAAGCAACACCACTTAAGTCCAGATATAACATGGATGTACCAAAGAACTGTAAGTTTCAATGCAATAGTTATTTCAGCGGCAGCTATAATAAAAGTGTCTTCGGGTGTAAACGGTTAAAGCAGCTGAAAGAGAAAATCACAGTGAAAGTAGTGCAATAAATTTTTCGTAGCTGAATTGACAACTTTTGGCAGCTGTTAGCAGAGATAGAGTCTGTCGACATCGCAATCTAGTTTACTTGTTACAGTTTCGGAAACGATCAAGGAATTCATTCTAGTAATTATCAACCTGATGTAAAGATATAAAATCCTAGTTTTACCTAATAAAAAACATTCTTCTTTTCTTTGTTAATGAAAATGATTTTAAATAGAAATTAGACTTTCTTTTTCTTTCTTTAGTGTTAATCCTGATCACATAGACGAAGTATTTAATAATGATATACCAAAACCAATTTATTTATCGAAAAAAGACAGTGAATTAAAACCAAATTATTTTCTAGCAATACCAGTGACTGATTCGTCTGTGATTAAGAATTATCTTGAATTTCGTCAATATGTACTGGATACGGAGCCAACATTAGTCAAACATTGTTTATCGTTTCAGTCTGATTTATTACACATTACATTGTTAACATTACGTTTGGATAATCAATTTGAAATTGATCAATGTATGTCAACAATGAAGGCATTACAAGAAGAACTAAAATATTATTGTACATATCCTGAACATTTGAAACTTTATTTTTTCGGTTGTGAAACATTTTATAATAAAACATTATTTATTAATTGTCGTAAACATGATCGACTAGAAGGTTTACGAAAAATATTAATCGAACGATTTCAATCGAATAATATTAATTTAGCTGGAAATTATTATGAATTTATACCTCATCTAAGTCTAATTAAAATGAAACAAAAATTAAAAACTATACCGTCAGCGATTTATAAAAAATATCAGCAATCTGACTTTGGTGTGCAAAATGTTGAAGCTATACAATTATGTCAAATAGCACCGGCTGATTCACAGCAAAGATGTACATTTACACTTGATTTATAATTACGCTTTTTTTTCGTTTGTGAAGCCCTTTACACTTCTCTTCGATGCATGTGAACACGTCTCCATTGTTATTCAATAATTTATGCGTCAGCGTGATGCTTTCTCCCTCACTTCTTCCTTGTATCACTACAAATGTTAGTTGTACTGTCAATTTGTTGTTTCATATTTTTCTCTTCTGATTTGCATACAACAGTAGCAGTAGATAAAACCTACTAGGCTACCTCTTTCTCTCTTTGCCATTTTATTGCAAATGATTTGTTTGTTTGTTCAACATGCTCGAGTTTTGACGTAGTGTTCTTTTTTATTCGTATAAATCACTTCAACATTTATTTTTAAAAGCAGTGAATACGTACGTATTCGACAAAAATTTTGTTTTTATTTTTTCTTGTTATTATTTTGACTGAACTGTAATTCAACAGAGTAAAAAAGAAATTTATTAAGATTTTATAGAGAAGAATTTAATTAAGTTTTCTTTTTGTCAGTTCTATTCGAATGTCTAATACAACAGATGTGTCACAATAATTCATAATTTTGGTTTTTATCTTGTAGAAGTAGAAAACTACAACAGTAATTAAATTAATAAACAGCCTGTTGCCTCTTAGGGGTAGTGCGTAGTGTCATGTTGATTAGTGGATCACAAAGAGTATGGAGTAATATTCTTCGCACAGATGAACACTAATTTAATAAAAGAAGATGGATACAGAAGACATATAAAAAAATAACTGAAGAATCCATCGATTGATTTATTGTTCTACTGAATCAATTAGTTACCCACTTGATATTAAAAGTAAATAAAATTATTTAAACAACTGGTGTTTAGTTGTTAGAAATCCATTATTTACTTTTAGTACTGGAAAGAGAATAGAAGGAATGTTTTGTTCATATGAATATTCTTATCGTAATGGATTTTTCAATTTATCATTTATTAATAAACTGGGTATTTTGCTAGAAAAATGTTTTTGCTTGCGTTAACTAGTATCCTGATTTTATTTATGTACACGTATAGATAAGAGTAGTTTTAATGTTTTACAACACTTTTCTTATTTACTACTGTACGTTCTATGAGTATATGTTTTAGTTCTTTTCTTTTTTGAAATGTATTCACACGTTTTTTTCACTGCCATAATAGAGAATCTAAATTATTGAAAGAACTATTTATTTTTTTTGCTTTACTTTGGGTGTACGCACATAGTGTTTTATTTTTTACTTTTTTTATATTTATTTACTGACGATTATTTTTTTTCAAGACTTAAAAAAAATGACCGCTAATTTTGTATTAATCGATCAGACAGAAAGAAAATGGCTATTAGTGTGACACAAATAGAAAAAGAATTAATTCACTTTTCTGAATTCAATAATTGAATGCTTGTTGTTTCATGACTTTATTTTTGTATGCATCTATCGAAAGATGATACAATATCATCAAAATCTATAAGCTAATTTTATTTAGTTTGTATAGGATCTCGTCTCAGGAGTGAACTGATGTATGTTACTTGTAAATCATAATCAAATACTAAATTAAATAATAAAAATGGTTGTTCAAGAATGTTTACAAGGACTCTAGCTTGTTTTCAATATCAATTATTGAAGACTGAAAGACAGCAACGTTAAGCAGCAACTGCATAAAAAAAAAGACTTGCCAATAAATCACAGAGTCAAGATGCTTGCTATTCAGCATTTAAAAGTTCCCTTGAAGAGAAGCATAGATCGCCGTAATCTATGCACAAATGAAGCACAATTCTCTTTATTTACATGGGTAGTAGCAAGTAATCCAGATTTTCATACAGAAATACATGAATTACTTTCTTATTATTTCAAATTATCAAGATTCAAACCGCAAGATCGAAAATATGACACGTTGCTGAATCAATTGAGAAATGTTCCACTTGAATTTATTTCACAAGATCACATATTTTACTAAGTTTTGCACAAATGAGAAAGTAGAACCTACTAAGTATTTTCTATTAGAGGGTGCGTTATTCCTGCTATACTGAGATAGTTTAATCAATGAATAGTCTATCCTAGTCTCTAATCCCTCGTTGTGACCTCAAAAACATACTTTTTCTTGAGAAATTAATTAGTTAAAAAATACTCAACTTTCCGAACGGGAAACTACCGCAGGTGTCCATTCGCTTTTTCTTCGAAAAGCTGGTCTCTAGAGACCCATTTTAAAATCTACGAGAAAGATTTTATTTTGTCTGTCTTGTAGGGCATGTCGAGTTATATATATGGAAAAATCTTCAAACATAAAGATAGAATTTTGTTGAGTTGAATTTTACTCTGATTTTACTCTGACTTTTACTCTGATCTAACGTGAAAAGTCAACGCTTTGCATTAAATCGAGATATAAATTTCTTCAACTCAGTAAAATTCTATCTTTATGTTTGAAGATTTTTCCATATATATAACTCGACATGCTCTACAAGATAGACAAATTAAAATCTTTCTCTTAGATTTTAAAATGGGTCTTCAGAGATCAGCTTGTCGAAGCTTCGCTCTGAAAGATCATATGGACATGAACGGGTATCAGATTTGTAATCAGTATAAAAACTACCTTTAATCATTTATGTTTGAAAGAAATACAATTGGACACCTGCGGCGGTCAAAACGATATATCAAACTGAACTGCAGTCCTGTCAAGTGATACTGAAGTAGAGAGCCTCCTATTCGCACGATTTTCCTTTCATTTTTCATCTTTGTCTTTTCTATAAACACTACAAGAACGTATTGCAAAGAAATACAACAACATTTTGAAATAGTTCATGGATTACCAACCATATTTTATGTTGGAGCATATTTTATGTCGGTTTACAAGGTTATTCGGAGTATTCCCTTATTAAAGGAGAAATCTTCTCGTCTGAACTAAATATCCGTTGAACAAAACTATTCGAAAATCTTAAGTCGTAGGATAATATATCTAAGATTTTGCAGAACAATTTTGTCCAAGATTTCTTCGATATAACATACATCAAAGCCGATTAATAGCAATATTTTTATAGTAAAATATTTTGTCTGATATATTTTACGCGAGTTCTTTCAAAAAACTTGCAATCTATAGCATGTGTACAATATATGCTTATAAAAAAAAACGTTTTTCGTAGTAGAAAGAGTGAAAATGCAGCAAAACATTTGTCAAACAAATACTGATTATTATCAAAAGAAAAATTACATTCGGTATAAAATACCTTCAA